GAGAGAGAGAGAGAGAGAGAGAGAGAGAGAGAGAGAGAGAGAGAGAGAGAGAGAGAGAGAGAGGACACCTTCGCAAGTTTTCACCTGCATTTGTGGAGACTGCATTTTGGATGTGCTGGGCTGGCTATGCATGGTTTGACACGTACTGGGTGGGAAACGTTTCTTCACGTCATGATTACCGACCGGTTAGTGTTGGTACGATAGAGAACGTGTCTGGGTGCGGGGTAGCGGTGCTTCAAAATTATTTGGTCAGGATTTCAACTCATGATCTGATCAACAACAGTCACATGAGTGGACCATTCAGCCACGTGGGGTGGGTCTGGTGATGGTAATGCTATTGGCCCTGTGAAGTCATTTTGTGCACTTTTTGATGGATCTTACGGTGTCGGACTCTTGCAGGAATGTCGTTACTGTTCCTCAAGCTCGTCGGTTGATTGAAGCAGGAGCAGATGGCCTTCGAGTTGGAATGGGTATGTGCTTATCTGTTTGTCTGCTCTCGTTAATGGAAAGGTCCATTCCTCACCCTCGCTGCTCTCATTCTGGCTCTTGGTCTTTGCTCTCCTCATCCATCCATATGTCCACATCATACCAATTCTACCTGTGTGCTGCATGTGCGCGAGTCCCTTTCAGAATGAAACGGGGCTTTGGAAGTTCGGCTCGGTTGTCTTAATATAGAATAACTACAGGAAATTAAGAAAAGGCAAACCTGTGGTGAGGGTGCTGCACACCCTGCTAGAGTACAAAGCATATCCTTAAAACAAGATGGAACCGAGATCATCAAACGGACGGTATCCCTCACTTTTTCCATGCCAGTTCACACGGCATCATACACAATGAGCATCCAATGATACAGGAAAGACTCTCATCTCGACTCCAAGCACAGAGACGGCAATTAGACATATAGAGTTCACACGGCATCATTCATACACAATGAGCATCCGATGATACAGGAAAGACACTCATCTCAGCTCCAAGCGCAGAGACAGCACTTAGACATAGACCAGAGACGAGTGGACATAGATAGACAGAGGTTAGGTCGACCCAGAGCATAGATGCAGAGACCGACTAGATGGAAGAAAGGATCGTCACCATAGCCCGTAGTAACAGTAACAAAAACTACTGAAAATTGTGGAAAGAAACTTCGGGAAGCACTTCTGGAGGACGAATGGTATCGTGGTAAAGCACACTCCTTTTGGTGCAGTGGGTAGCGTCCTAGCTAACGCATCCTGACAACACCGCCCGAACTGTTTGTGCTGGTGCCAGATCCCCCCACCCCATGTTCTCAGCCCGGGCTGCGCTCTATCCCGATGGCATTTGTCGTTGTGTTGTGTGGATGGCGGGTTGTCTGGATGGTACCGGTAGTGGGGCAAGGGAAAGGTCGTGGGGGGGGAAAAGGAAATTTGGAAAGTGGATTGAAACAGAGTGGTGCGCGCGGACCGAAATTGTGGGCGATTTTCTAATTTGTTGTGTGTGAAGGCGGGGACCACTCAGAGGCATGTCTTGCATGGGGTTTGTTGGCCGACTTTTAAAAGGCTCTCATTTTTGCTCTGTATGGTTGATTAGTTCATTGACTGTCTGTTTCCTTCTGCACCATTTCCCTTTTCCAAATTCCTTCCTTTTCCTTTTTTTTTTCACTTCCCCCCCTCCTTTTTTTCTCCTCTTCCAAATACGATTCAATTCAAACGTGGAACTTGAAAATGTCTATATCGTCCATGTATGTCCTCAAAGCAACTTAGGCATTTCTGTTTAGCAACTCTCTCAGCCTCCACACACTTCAGTTGAAGGTAAAAGGGTTATCTTTTCGTTTCTTTTGTTTTTCTCTTTCTATTTCCTTTTGCTTGAGGTACCATCGAATTTCAGGGCAAGCTGTAGTAGAGTACCGGGAATAGATTGCATAAATACAAGCACACACCCACGTGACTGTTGGCACACAGATCAGAGTTCCGTCTCTTTTTTTTTTTCTTTTTTCTTTTAAGACAAGTCGAGTACGCTGCTGCGAAGGACGATGACAGAAACGTTTTGCGAAGCACCCCAGCCATCAGTTGGACCCCATCTTTGCAATGTACCCCTACCGGACGCTGCCTAGCTTTGCAAAATGCCCCGGCAGTTGCCAAGTTTTTGGAGGTGCAATTGCAAAAGGCCAAACGAATTTGCACACCCACCTGACAGGGGCATAACACAAATATGTCAGTCCAAAAGGCCATTCCACTGTGCCCATATCTTTTAGGGACATTTTGACGTATATCTCAACTTATGGGGGTATTTGGAAAATTACCCCCCCCCCTCCCCCGAAAAAAAGTAGACTCTCTCTCGGTGTGTGTGTGTGTGTGTGTGTGTGTGCGCGCGTGTGTGTGTGTGTGTGTGTGCG